ATAATTATTAGAAGGTGAACAGAATTGGTTAACATCCAGTGTATATATTGAAATGATGATGAAATGACAATGTAATTCTTTTGTAGTTTGTTAATATGATGAACAGCATTAACTGATCTAAATGTCGAACCAGCCTTGCATACCTGGGACCACTTGGTCATGGTGTATAATCCTTTTTATACTTTTTTTTTCAGTTTTTTTAAAATTATTTTTTATTTAGTTTTAAGTATACAGTACATTGGTTAGACATCTATATAGTTCATAATGTGATCCCCCTAAATGCACCCTCCCTACCCTGACCCTCCACCTAGCTAATGTACTAATGCTAACTACATTCCCTATGCAGTGCTTTCCATACCCATGACCATCCATCAGGTACTAATTTCTACTTCTTTACCCTTCATCTCACTCTCCCAGCCTCCCAAATCCTTCTAGGTCCATCGAAGCAATATCTTTTTCCATCCCCTTCCTTTTCATATGTACGGGTCTTGTTTTCTTATCCTTTCAACCACTCTTTCTTTTTGTTAGAGCACTTAATTCTTTTCCATTTAAGGTATTTATTAATAGGAATGTAGTTGTTACCATTCTTTATTCCTGTTTTTGTACATGTTTTTTCTTCTTAAAGAAGTCCCTCCAACATTTCCTGTAATACTGGCTTGGTGGTGATAAATTTCTTTAGCTGATTTTTGTCTGGGAAGCTCTTTATCTGTCCTTCAACTCTAAATGATAGCTTTGCTGGATAAAGTATTCTTGGCTGTATACCCTGGGTCTTCATCCTGTTGAGTATTTTTTGCCAAACCCTTCTGTCCTGCATAGCTCCTTTTGAGAAATCAGCTTCCAGTCTTATAGGTGCCCCTTGTAGGTAACCAACTGCTTTTCTCTTGCTGCTTTTTAAGATTCTCTCTTTGTATTTAACCTTTGGCGTTTTAATTATGATGTGTCTTGGTATAGGCCTCTTTGGATTCCTGGTTTTTGAAATTCCCTGAGCTTCATGGGGTTTTATGTTCATTTCTTTCACCAGGTTAGGAAAGTTTTCCATCAGTACTTCTTCAAACAGCTGTCAACATCTTGATTTTCTTCAGTTACACCGATTAGATGAATATTTGGAGCTTTAGTAGTGTTCCATATCCTCCTTAAATAATTTTTATAGTCTTGGCATATTTTCTTGCCATTCTGATTGAGTGTTCTGATTGGCTTTCCTGTCCTTTAGATAGGGCATTTGATCCTCTTCTTTATTCACTTTGTTTATTCCTTTGTTTATTCCATTTAATATACTTCTCATCTCAGATAATGTGTTCTTCATTTCAGACTGGTTCCCTTTTATAATTTCCATTTCCATTTTTATGTTTTTTATCTCTTTGTTGAAGTTCTCACTGAATTCATCTACACTTACCAAAAGTTCATTGAGCATCTTTTTAACCAGTGTTTTGAACTCTGCATCTGTTAGATCACTTGACTCCATTATATCTGGATCTCTGTTCTGTTCTCTCATATGATTTCTACTTCTTTGGCTGCCTTTCTGTGTCTATTTCTATGTACTAAGCAAAGCTCCTAAATTTCCCAGTCTTCTTAGTGTAGATTTGTGAAGTAGGTGTCCAGTGGCACAGTCCTGAGAGGGGTTCAGCTTCAGGCCAAACTTAATCCAAGCTTCTACCCCTCCGGGGCCACCATTAAGATTCAGCAGCAATCCACAGATGCTGTGCTTATAGTTGCCTCAAAAGGCCTCTCCAGAAATCGAGGATGCTTCCAGCGTGTCTCAGCAAGGAACATCTGACTTGCTGAGGATACTCCTAGGTTTGGCTTGGGTGGGACCGTGACCTGGGGGTGGCGGGGTTTCAGGGAATCCTTTGGGCAGAGCAACCTTTGTTATCTAGTTTGATGATGTCATGGCTATGGCGGTGCTGCGTCTGTGCATGGGAGGTGGGAGGACTCAACAGGGAACAATAGATACCACTGACATTTTTGTACCAAGCAATTCTTACTTGGCCTTCATTCCGACAATGTCTTCTTGTAAGTCCCTGGTGCCCCCAGCGCACAGCCAAATTGACATTGGCGCTCAGATTGAGCATGTCCGTCACCACGAAAATCCTTGTGTGGATGCAACCCTTTAAGAGGCTTCTGCCACAGTGTCCGTCTTAGTCACTCGGGATTGGGCAGCCTCGCATCCTTGCCCCATCTTACCTTCTGCCATTGCAGGGTGATTTCTTGGATTTCTTCCTAATTGTATGGCTTGCTTGTTTTCTAGATTCCAGGTATTTTTTCCTTGATGCTGCTCCTTGTTTCTGTCACATCTTTGATTTGGTTGCCAGAGAGATGAACAGAGCCTCTATCATCTATGCCTTTTTTTTCTCTCTCTTTTTATACTTTTTTTGATTAAATTTGGTAACATTTTGTTGGGGATTTTTGCATCTATATTCACAAGAGATGTTGGTCTATAATTTTCTTTTCTAATGCTGACCTCATAGAATGAGTTAGAAAGTATCTCTTCTGCTTCTACCATCTGAAGGCGATTATAGAGAATTGGTACAATTTCTTCTTTAAATGTTTGGTAGAATGCACTAGTTTTTAATTATTGGGAGGTTGATAATTTTTTAATTATCAATTCACTTTAATATATATATAGGCTTATTCATACTACCTATTTCTTGTGTAAATTTTGGCAGATTGTGCCTTTCAAGGTCTAATTCATCTAGATTATCAAATTTGTGGGCATAGAGTTGTTCATAGTATTTTTTTATTATCCTTTTAATGTCTATGGGAGTTGTAGTGATATTCCTTCTTTCATTTCTGATATTAGTAATTTGTATTCTCTCTTCTTCCTTAGTTAACTAGGCTAGAGGCTAATTGATTTTATTGCTCTTTTCAAAGAACCATATTTTGATTTAATTGATTTTCTCTATTACCTATAATCAATTACACTGAATTCTGTTCTACTTATTATTTCTTTTCTTCAGATTACTTTGGATTTAATTTGCTCTCTCTCTCTTTTTTTTTTTTATAGTTTCCTAAGATAGAAACTTAGATGATTGATTTGGGATCTTTTTTCTTTTCTAATATATTCATTAGTATTATAAATTTCCCTCTGAGCACAACTTTTATTTCATCTCACAAATTTTAAGTCATGTTTTTGTTTTTATTTAGTTCAAAATATTTTAATATTTCTCTTGAGACTTCTTTTTCATCTATGTGTTATTTAGAAGTATGTTGTTTAATCCCAACATAATTTGGGATTTCCATTTATCTTTCTATTATGAGAACATTGTATGATTTTCATTCTTTGAAATTTGTCGAGGTGTGTTAGATAGCCAAAAATGTGGTCTATTTTGGTGACTGTTCCATGTGATCTTGAGAACAATCTGTATTCTGTTGTTGTTAGGGAAAGTAGTCTATAGATGTCAATTATATGTAGTTGATTGATGATGTTGAGTTCAACCAAAATCTTTACTAATTTCTGCCTGGTGGATCTGTCCATTTCTGATAGAGGGGCACTGAGTTCTCCAACTATAATAATAGATTCATCTGTTTCTCCTTGCAGTTCTCTCAGTTTTGCCTCATGTAGTTGAACACTCTGTGTTTAGGTGCATACACACGGAGGATTTTTATGTTCTATCAAAGGCATCTTCATTGTCATTAGTGTCTTTTATCTCCAGCATTTCTTTTCAGTTCTTTCATAGGATTTCCACCTCTGTTTACATTTCCATCTGTTCTTGCATGCTGTCTACTTTATGCATTAGAGTATTAGTGTATTAATCACAGTTGTTTTAAATCCCTGGTCTTATAATTTTAATATTCCTGGTGTGTCTGTTTCTGATGATTGCTCTGTGTCTTCAGATTGTGTTTTTTGCCCTTGGTATGATTTGTAATTTTTTCTTGATAACTGAACATGACATACCAGGTAAAAGGAACTACTATAAATAAGCCATTAGCAATGTAGTGGTGAAGTATGGGGAGATGGGAAATGTTCTATAGTTTTCTGATTAAGTGTAGTCTTTTAGTGAGCCTATGCCTCTGGATTGTGAACGTTACAAGTGTTTCTTAGTTTTTTTACTCCGCTCTCAGGTGGGACAGGATGGCAGGAATGGTCTGAATTGGATATTTCCCTTCACCAGATCCATGAGGCTCTGATAATACCCTAGTAAGTTATGCTCTGGTTAACTAGTTATCCCTGATAGGTCTTGTTAAGAAGAATAGAATAGTCTTTAATATTTCAAAATGGTTCCTTTTTTTCCTTTTACTGCCAGAAGACCAAAGGAATTTTTCTTCAATATTTTTTCTGGGAACCTGGTTGAGCTTTGTACTTATTATCAGGATGGAGGAGTGACTTCTAAGCACCTTATATGCAGAACTGCAATACTTGATATATATAAAGAACTCATATATATCCATAAGAAAACAGAAAAAAACAATAGAAAAAATAAGCTAAATTTATTAACAGGAGTCTCAGAAGAGGAAACCTAGATTCTCCCCCTGGCCCCTGGTCAAATATGTGAAATGACGATCATTATCACTGGTAAATAGGAAAAAGTAAATGCAAACTACAATGAAATAGAATTTAATTTTCATCAGAATGATGGCAATATTAGTTATATTGAAATTGATTCCTTGTGGAAAGTCATTTGTCATGAACTTCTACCGAGTTATAGCTGGATTCGGTTGAGGAGGAAGAAGCTAATATAATAGGATTGTTCAAACACAGAGTTAGGACTATCCCAATTTACCACAAAGCTGTTTCTTGGGTGTAACTTTTAAGTGATCTTTTTTTTTTTTTTTTTAAATAGCCAAGTCAAGGAAGTTTGTCATTCCCTGGATGACTCCTATCTTGAAACTATAGAAATATGACAGTTATTAACACTAGCCAGACAAGTTTCATCTAATTTGTTTCGCCCAGCCCATAAAAACAAACCAACCAACACTGGATGTAGCACATACTCCTGTGAAACTTCAATCACCTTAAAAGCTACACAAGAAGGTTCTTATTTTTATTATCACCATCATCTCTGTCATCATCATCATCATCACCAGCATTGTACCTGACACCACTACGACAATCAGAATATTATGTACAGGTAAATGGAATTTTACTTGAGTAATTAAGTCTTCAAACTTAACAAGTTACTACAGAGTATCTTCTAGCTTTTTGTTGATCGGTTGCTTTCTATAATTTAGATTTTTATTTCTGGACACTGTCAAGAAACATGCTGTTGTTCCTGAGGTATAAAGGCCTTGTGAAGTCTCTAGGAAAGTTTTAGAAAGTTGGGAAAAAAGAATCAGATTTCAGCAAAATTTTGCTTACTTTTTTTTATAACCACCCATAAGAACATTACCATTTTTGTTCTCTAGTAATGTAAATGAAATCATATTTTCTAATATAAAATGTTTTATAAAAATAATTTAAATATCTAAGTCTCTTTATAGAATTTTGTAATAATGTACTTTACAACACACATCCTGAATTAGTAACTGGCAAACTTCTGGGGGTCCTCAAAACTTCATAAATATTTAAATGAGCTCCCTTCCTAGGGCACTCTGCTTTTCTAGAGTTGCAGGAGGAAGATAGAAGATTAATGATCATTTGATCATTAATGTTTCTGTTCTTTATTCAGAACTCTGTCCCTAGTGATTTAAAGTCCTCTATGACAAATAAGAGGTTTATCTTCACAAAATTTGGGGAATTTTGCACTAGAATCTTGCTTTAATACTCTTCAGTATATAAAAATTTAGATACATCTAATTCAAAGGGTCTATAAATAAAGATCTAATAAATGAAAACTACAGTTTGTTATGCTTTGCAGTTTAACTGCTAATGCAATATCAGAATGTGGTTATAAGGAAACCTAATCTAGGAAATGATACATGGTATGAACTGTGGGACAAATTATAGTGAGACCAATGTTTTAAAATTGTGAATAATGTTGTTACTATTATTTTTTAATCAGTATTATTTTTGCAATTTGATTGAAGTGAGTAGCTGATCACACCAGAATAGCATTTTGATTAAGGTGAATAGCTGATCATGCCAGAATAGCAATGAGCTTTTACTCGAAATACAGTCAGTCCAAAATTAAGGCAATTACAGTTTAGTTAAGTATATGGAATTGGTTAAATTCATTGAAGATTAAAATTTTTAACCTATTTGTTCAATGAGAGGTTCATCTTGGAATGCGAATCTTTACAATTAAAAATCTTATGTCTAGAAATTAATTTGGTAAAGGAGAGAGTTAAACTATTTTATGAATGGATTTTTTTTTGTTATTTAGAACATCATTTTAACAGTTTCAGCTATTATTCAAAAATAATAATTAATTCCAAGATTGTGCATCACATTTACTGGAGGAAGTGTTAAATAAATCATAAACTACTATAATCTTTTTGAGATGATAGAATCTTCCTAATTGTTTATGACAGTAAGAAATCCATAATGAGGAGAAAAAGCCATATTAGCACTATAGTCGACAATATGTATCCTTTAGAACTTTCCAGAGCATCTAAAAGGGCTTTCGAAGAAAAACACTTTATAAGTTGTAATGTAGTGATTATTTGTATAGAAACCATTGTAGCCACATAAGAATCACCATTCAGGCTACATAATATTTGAGTTCCTCAATTAACATGCATATTTCAGAAGACTAAAGTACTGGTCTAAGTCAACTGGCTAATCAAAACGAATTTGAGATCTCAATATCACAGTGAACTTCTAGTCATTAGAAGAGACATATCACCTGAATATAAGACCTGAAACAAGAGAAAACATAGGAACTAAACTCAAGGACCTTGGACTTAATGAGGATTTTATAAATTTGACCTCAAAGGCAAGGGAAGTAAAAGCTAAAATAAATGAATGGAACTACATCAAACTAAAAAGCTTCCCCACAGCAAAAGAAACCATTAATGAGGTAAAGAAACAACCATTCAAATGGGAAAATATATTTACAAGCAATGCCTTCGGTAAGGGCCTAATATCCAAAATATACAAAGAACTCATACAACTCAGTAACAACAACAACAAAAAACAAATGATCCAATCAAAAAATGAACAGAGAACCTGAACAGACACTTCTCCCTAGAGCACATACAAATGGCCAACAAATATATGAAAAGATGCTCAACATCTCTAGCTATTAGGAAAATGCAAATCAAAACCAAAATGAGATACCATCTCACACCTGTTTGAATAGCTGTTATCAACAGGACAAGTAATAACAAGCATTGGAGAGGATGCGGAGAAAAAGGAACCCTCATACCCTGCGGGTGGGACTGCAAATTGGTACAGCCACTATGGAAAACAGTATGGAGGTTCCTCAAAAAACTAAGAATTGATTTACCATATGATCCAGCAATGTCTCTACTGAATATTTACCCCAAAGACTTGAAAACCCATATCTGAAAAGATATTTGCATACCAAAGTTCATAGCAGCATTATTCATGGTAGCCAGGATATGGAAGCAACCGAAGTGTCCTACAATAGATGATTGGCTAAAGAAGCTGTGGTACATATATACAATGGAATATTACTCAGCCATAAGAAGAGATGAAATACTGCCAATCGTGACAACATAAATGGACCTTGAAGTGATGATGCTAAACGAAATAAGCCAGACAGAAAAAGTTGAAAACCACATGATATCACTTATATGTGGAATATAAACCTAAAAGCAACAAACGAACAGGACAAACAAGCAGAGGCTCAAGGACATGGACAATAGACTAGTGATTACCAGAGGGTAGTTGGGGAGAAGGGAGATAGATGGGGTAAAAGGGGTCAAATACGTGGTGACAGAAAGAAATCTAACTATGGGTGGTGAGCACACAATGCAATATATATATGCCTCACTGTTGAATTGTACACCTGAAACTTACTGGATTTTGTTAACCAATGTCACCATAATAAAAAAAAGAAAAAAGAAAAAGAAAAAAAGAAGAAACATATTGAATATTAACAAGATTATAAATATAATTATTAATTACCTTAATTGCATGTTCCTATTAAAGTGCGATTCATCTAGTATAAGATATATTATGTTGGAGTAGAATTTTTTCTCTGAGGATGAAATGAAACACCAGAATTCCAATAAGAAAGCGTACATGAAGTAGGGAGTTTCTTGAGGAACTTTTGCTTCTGGGAAACACTCACGAGTTATCAAAGGAAATATATGGAAGGGGTAGAATTAAGAATAGAGAATAGAACAGAAAGGAAATAAGACTGAGTGGACTCACACAATTGTGGCATAAGTTAATGTTTTAAAAAATTGTTATGAAAAATGCAAAAAAGTTGTCTACCTAAAATTCAATTGGTCTTGAAGATATAAGAACAAAAATATTCTCAAATTCATAGAGAATATCTATTCTGCCAAATACATCGCTGATTACAAATTTCCTGTTTTGCACATTTTGTTTAAGATGATGCTGAATACAAAGAGATTGAAGAAACAACTGAGAATATCCTGAACTTTGAAATTAGAAATGTTTTTAATGTTATAGCTCTTTCTCCAAATGGGCAATTTCATGACATCATGTCTTTTAAGATACAAGGAATAACTAGTATCCAAACGTTATATAGACTAGACTAAGGGTGGTCATAAGATCATTCTACCTGTATAATGCCAAGTCATTATATTTTCTGATTATTTTTCATCTAATTGATTGATTTTGATAATGAAACTTAATCATCTGTTAATTTATATTATACAAATAATCCGGATTTATTGTAGAAGCATTAGAAAATATAGTTAAAAGAAAAATAAATTAAAAAGGAAAAAATATATCCAAGATCTCATAACATGGGATAGTTGCATTTGCCATCACAGTGTTTTCTTTCACATTTAATTAAAACTTCTAGATAGTTATATTATGTATTTGTGTTTATAAATCTATATTTGTCCTCATACATGATGGGGCTAGAGTTTACAAAAATACAATCAGATCACACTGAATGTTATGTAATTCACTTTAGATAAATAAAAAAGGCAAATCAATTTCTCTGCAGTAACATTAGGACAGAAACTCTATTTTGCTCACTATTGGATCCCCAGCAGTTAACATAGTACTTAAATATGATTTGTTAAAAGAATGAGCATTAGGGTTTATTCTCTTTGAGGCATTTGTGGCTTCTAACTTTTCAGCTAACATAAAGGCCTAATGTATAAGTTATAAGTCATGTTGTATGAGTTGGAGGAGAGACAGGTAGATTTAGAATGTTTATCATCTGATTTGAGCCATTTTCCCCCTTTCACAGGTTCGGTACATTTTCACAGAGAAGATCTTGGCCATTATGGACAATAATCCTTATTTTTCTTGGAATGATAGCAGTCTTGGGAGTAACTATTGGTCTCCTTGTTCATTTTCTGGCAGTTGGTCAGTGCTGACTATTTTCAATTTTTACCCTTGCTAACACATCTCCTTTTACTTTTAGAAATCGTCACAAAACAACATAAATATTAAATTTCTTTGTGGAAAATTTCTCATCTACTTTTTATTTTATTGCAAAATAATATTTTTTACTACTTAACACTGAACTTCATACATATTTTTGAATTAGATGCCTCCTTTTCCACTCTATAAATTGTATCACCAACTATGGAAATATGGGCAAAACTGAAGTCTTCAATACTTTGATGCTAATATTCATTATCAATAAAGGAGCTTATGTACTAGCTTTGTAGTTGAGTTGTTATATCTTTTAGTAAATATATCTCAAACTGTAGAGATCCCCAATCTTATTGTTTCAATTCTGGTATTGACAGATTAATCTGCTATCCTGCAAATACCCAAGTTCAGCATACTGGATGCAGCAATATATTATAGATCTTAGTTATCTGTGCTTTTGTTTGGTGATCAACTTCACATATTAAAATTATAAAATGGTAGGAAAAAAGAGGGTTTTGGAGTTTATTTATTGCAATTTAGTCTTTGTAATTAGGGAGAAAAATCTCAGAGTTGTGTCAAGGTGACACAGCCAATTTTTGTCAGGGCTTGAGCTAGTTTCTCTAACTATATATACATTAGTTTCTCTAATAATATACATTATTCTTTTCAGAATGAATTTAGGTAACTTCTTAGAATCTGGTAGCTGCTTTTCCTATGCACTGCTTGTCATAAGGGGAAAAAAAAAGGAAACTATGAGAATAGAGGAAACTAATTTTTATTTTAGGTTGAAATGATATTGTTGACTTCTAGGACAATGATCATATTTTTCAAAGTCTATTATTAACATGCCTTAGAGGCTATGTGGTGCTTTTTAAGGTGGCTCAAAAGCACAACTATTCTCAAAATATGTAAATGGCTAACAGCTTAACCAAAACAGTATACCACTTTATAGTAGTTTCTATTTTTAAAAGTACATATATGACCTAGAAGGCTTGTCCTGTTTTAAACTATGGTGGCCTAGTATATCGGGTCAACCAGTTTACATTTGGAGACGGGAAGAAATGGGGAATGTGAGACCTGTGACACCTGTGCCAAGCACTAGCCACCATATGCTGCACAGGAAGAGCAAGGGCAGGATGAAGTCTTTAAGGGATGGCTTCAAGGAATGGAGAGCAGGTCAACAGACAATGGAACATAAGAAGGGTGAAAGAAGGTATAGATCATCCAGAAGTTAAGGGGGATGTTTGTAATCAGAACTGCTTAGAAATATTAATTGGGTAATCAATAGGCTAAGAATTTTGATTACACATGAAAAACAAGTTTCATTTCTAGTGCATACTCTGGTGAATGGCTATGGGCTACCTGGATTGCTGCTTTGAGAAGGATGCTGAGGGACAGTGATGTCTATTATCATAAAGAAAGTAGGGAGATCACTTTATGAATGCTGGGTAGTTGCCATTTCTAGAATAAATGCATATTCATTCTCTTCCATTTTCCTTCTCTTCCTTTCTCCCATTCTCTAATTATTTCTAAAGTTGGGTTAAATGTTAATTTTGAGATAAAGACATGCGGGGACTTAAGGTCAATTTATGTTTTAAAATTCTGAGTATTTCTTTATTTCACAGGAAAGATTTACCATTACCAAGGTGATTTTCGTATTTCTGGAGTCACATACAATGATAGTTGTGAAAATGCAGCTTCACAAGGTAGCACAGATTTAAACAAAGATATTGAGACTAAGGTAAGTCAGTGATTTCTTTTATTAATTTCATTATAAATTTGATTGGAAAAGACATGATGGCTCTTTCTTTTCTCTTGCAGATGTTGGATGCATTTCAAAATTCTAGTATATACAAAGAATATGTCAACTCTCAGGTCATTAAACTTCTGTAAGTACAAACTTATTTAGGATATTATGGAAAGGGAAGTAGGTGACCTGTCACATCAGCTCTGGTTTTAAATAATAACAACAGCGAAAGCAGAGAAAGAAAATCGAGAGAGAGAGAGAGAGAGAGAGAGAGAGAAAGAGGAAGGAAGAAAGGAAGGAAGAAAAGAGCTTTCCATAAATTAAAGTATCATTGTATTTAACAAATTTCTGTTCATGGTAGGAATTGTTCTGTACAAATCTGTAATCTCTATACTAGAAGAGAAATTGGAAAATTGTTGGTGGCACTCAGTCCTGACTTCTGTGACAAAAGATAATTATAACTCTGTGGAAAACAAAGAGTCCAATCTGATTGTTTTGCTACCCATATACTAGCTATCTCTTCTCCCATTGACACCCATCTAGCCATACCTTTCCTAAAACAATCCTCTTTTGGTCTCCTTAGTATTGCCATTACTGTAATAACTATGGAATGAAGTGAATCATTTAAGATAACATTTGTCTAACTATGTCTTTGAAGAGTGCTTGAGGGTTGTGGGGTCAGGGCTGCAGGAAAGAGGGTACCATGGAGCATAGGGGTTGAGTGATAAAGAGTGAGAGCACTTTTACTTTGCTAACTGCCAATGTCTATTCTGGGCAATTCTTAACTTTCAAAAAAAAAACAAACAGAAAATCCAGATGGCCAAATGCCAACCAACCAAAGTACTTACTCATACACACACACAAAAATCTTCAAAGACCCTTCCATCAACCATAATTATTTGAAAATAAAGTTGTGGGTTTTTTTAAAAAAAATTGTGATTAATATGACTTTGAGTTTAAAAGTCTTCCAAAATGAATTAAGTTTCTTTCCTGATTAATAAAAAGAATGTACTGGTTACAGAAATAATGTAGATTCTCTTCATGCTTTAGAGTTATCTTTAAGACATTTTTCATTGTATAGATCAATTGGGGTAGACATGTATAAAATACTATAGGAGAAGCTTAGTACTGGCTCCTGAATATACTCTAAAAGTTATCTTTTGAATGCTTCCCTGTCCTACATTTAAGTTCTCATTTATCTCTTAATCTGAAATTAAGATATTAGAAAATATCTGTATGAGAATTTGTTTTTTCCTGTGTTATAATAAAATCTTATGCTAATCTTTTTTTTTTTTTCCAGTACTCAGTTTCTCCTATGTGTTTAGTTTGTGGTTCACATATTCCTTCATGAACAATACCTCTAAGTTAATTAGGATATTTTGGGGAATGTTTGCACTTTATACATACTGGGACAATATCTGTGTAGTGTTCTTTGACATATGTAAAGAAAATATGATAATTAAAATGTGAGAAATAAATGTGTTCATAAAACATCTAAAAAATCAAGAAGCAACACACTAGAACATTTCTGTTGTTTCCAGTCCTTATCTCAATGGTTCAAGCATACAGTTGCAGCTAACATTCAAGTTTCCTCCAGCAAAGAGGGATAGAGTGAAGACTGAAATCAAAGCTATCTTACATCAGATGTTGAAAAACAACATGGCATCCTGGAATGCAGTTCCAGCTTCCATTAAACTTATGGGTATTCCACTTATTTCCATTATTTTCTATTATTTAGGTTTCAGGAAT